CCCTCGAGAAGCTCGCCTGGCTACGGGGGCAGCCGTCCAATCGCGGGCCGACGCGTCGCGCCCGGGCGTGGGCGGGCCCGGTCAAAGCGGGAGTCCGCGCGAGCCGGGCGCGGGGGTGGCCGCGCGGCGTGGGGCGTGTCCAGTGGACCGGTGGGGGGAGGGGACGTACGTGTCGGTGTCCCATTGGACCGCCCTCCTTTGGAGCTTTTGACCTCACGGGGGAGGGTGTGCACCGATCGCGCCCCCGTGGTCACATCGCATGCTATGCCCCCTGTGCCCTCAACAAATACACCAACCGCCGCCTGTGATTGGATCCAAATCCAAAGCTGGCTTGCTAGGGGTTGTCAATTTTCTTGTTTTCTAGTTATTAATTTAAAAAAAAATTGCAAAATATAGTTGTTACTCTTGATTTTACATGCGAGGATAGATTATTGGTTCCGATGATCAGTGCGGTGATGATACTTTGAACGGGGGTAAAGAAGATGCAATATTAAGATGTCTTTGTCAAAAGATTGAGAAAGGAATTTTTTTACGAGAAAACTTCCAATCTATTCATCAACTATCAAGGTAATAAAATGTAAAGAACATTAGAATTAAATTTACATCCAGGTCCGTAGACCAACTAGCGACGACTATAAGCACTGAAGCGAGCCGAAGGCGCACCGACATCATCGCGCCTCCCTCGTTGGAGTTAGGCAAACATTGTTGTAGTAGACAGTCGGGAAGTCGTCGTGCTAAGGCCGCATAGGACCAGCGCACCACAATAGCAACCGTCGTCGATGAAGAGAAGTTTAGATTGGAAGGATCCAACCTGCAGACACACACACATAGACGAACGAAGACCGGATCCAGTACAAAATCCCGAAGACAAACGTCGACTGGATCCCATGAGATCCATCGGAGACAAACCTCCAAACGCCTTCCGATGGCGCTTGAAACATCACCGGGACAGGGGCTAGGCAGGGATGACCTTATTCCATCTTCAAGAAGCCGTCATCGCCTCGTCTTCTTGAGCATGGCACAAACCCTAACAAAATTCAGAAAAAACACCTAAAAATGAAGCCCTCCCGCAGGCAAAGGCCGGGACCCACCATACCTTCATGGTCCAAGTACCATAGGGGACGAGGGGGACTGGCGGCCCCGACGAGAGACATGGAAACACTAGATATGAGTTCACACGAGGGCTGGAGCGTTCGATGCGTGGGATTTGTTAAAAGAAAAAAAAAGGTGCCAGGTATTTGTGGTCGAGAAAGGTATAAGGCGGGTCAAATTTAGTTTTACATCCATGTGTCTTATTAGGGCATCTCCAAGGCGGCCCCGCAAACCTCCCGCAATTGTCCCGACCACGGAAGTCATCCAATGCGGTATTGTATCGATCTGCAGGGCGGTCCGGACGTGATTTCTCCCGCAATCTGGAGACAAAACATGGGGGCCTTTGCGGGAGTCCGGACCGGTCCTACGCCCTCTTTTAACCGCCCTAGCCTACCAAAACGCCTTCTTCCTCGCCTGCGCGCGTTCCCGCCCAGCGCCAGTTGCTCGCATTCATGCCGCTGTAGAGCGCGCCGCTCAACATTGAAGACGGCTCAGGATGGACGTGACCTCTCACTGCCTCAGCCATTGAAGCGGCATGCCAGTCGAGGGCGTAGCCCGCGATGCATCTCCGTTGTCCGCGCATGTTCAATGTCGGAGACGCATGACTGAACGGGGCAAATATCTGCCACACTTATTCAATGTCGTTCTCCATCTGTATGCCGCCATTAAGCAAGTTCGTCGGCCAAGAAACCCACTCCAGCACCGCGCATTGACGCACTCGGACGCCTCGCCTCACCGGAATCCGCTATATAAAGGTGGCCACACCTGGCTGAAAGGATTGATATGGTTGACTAGAGAGGGGGTGAATAGGCAACTACCAATTTTTAGCTTTTCTTCACAAATTGGGTTTAGCAACAAATAAGTTACCTAGATGTGCAACTAGGTGAACAACCTATATGATGCAAACAACCCCAACAACAAGTGCAAGCAAATGATACAACACAATATAAACTGGCACAAAATAAAGGGAAGAGATAACCACAAGTGGAGCCGGTGGAGACGAGGATGTGTTACCGAAGTTCCTTCCCTTTGGGGGAAGTACGTCTCCGTTGGAGCAGTGTGGAGGCACAATCAATGCTCCCCAAGAAGCCACTAGGGCCATCGTATTCTCCTCACACCCTCACACAATGCGAGATGCCATGATTCCACTAGTGGTGCCCTTGAAGGCGGCGACCGAACCTTTACAAACAAGGTTGGGGCAATCTCCACAACATGATTGAAGGATCCCAACGATACCACGGAGCTTCACCACAATGGAATGTGGCTCCGAGGTGACCTCAACCGTCCAGGGTGCTCAAACACCCAAGAGTAACAATATCCGCAAGGGATTAGAGGGGGGATCGAATTTCTCTTGGTGGAAGTGTAGATCCGGGCCTTCTCAACCAATCCCTAGAAAAGCAACAAGTTTGATTGGCTAGGGACAGAGATCGGGCTAAAATGAGCTTCAAAGCAACAATGGAGCTTGGGGGAAAAGAGGTGAGTCAACTTGGAGAAGAACACCTCCTTTTATAGAGGGGGAACCAATCCAACCATTACCCCCTCTTCAGCTCGCACAGAGCGATACTACTGCACAGTGGTGCGGTACTACTGCTGATCGCGGTAGTAGCAGCGGTACTACCGCGACCACCAGTGGTACTACCATGGAGACTGAGAGCAGAGGCATAAGAGGGAGAACGCGAGAAAGAAAGAGGGGTTGGGCGGCACCAGTAGCGGTGGTACCCGCGGTACTACCGCTGCTACTGCCGGTACTACTGCCGCACAACCCAACACGAGAAGAGACATCCTCGAATCGAGTCGGTACCGGTGCCGAACCAGGACGGTACTGCCGCCGATGCATACAAGCGGTACTACCGTTGTAGGACAGCGGTACTGCCGCTTGAGGACCATGGGTGGTACTACCGCGCTGGCGGCGGTACCATTGCTATCTCCTCACAATCTCCACTTCCGTTGAAACGACAAACTCCAAGGAGAGGAAAGGAGCTGGGGGTGCAAAAAGGAAGTGTTGTTGGAAATATGCCCTAGAGGCAATAATAAAAGTGTTATTATTATATTTCCTTGTTCATGATAATTGTCTTTTATTCATGCTATAACTGTATTATCCGGAAATCGTAATACACGTGTGAATACATAGACCACAATATGTCCCTAGTGAGCCTCTAGTTGACTAGCTCGTTGTGATCAACAGATAGTCATGGTTTCCTGGCTATGGACATTGGATGTCGTTGATAACGGGATCACATCATTAGGAGAATGATGTGATGGACAAGACCCAATCCAAAGACTAGCACAAAAGATCGTGTAGTTCATTTGCTAGAGCTTTGCCAATGTCAAGTATCTCTTCCTTCGACCATGAGAGCGTGTAACTCCTGGATACCGTAGGAGTGCTTTGGGTGTATCAAACGTCACAACGTAACTGGGTGACTATAAAGGTGCACTACAGGTATCTCCGAAAGTATCTATTGTTTTATGCGGATCGAGACTGGGATTTGTCACTCCGTGTAAACGGAGAGGTATCTCTGGGCCCACTCGGTAGGACATCATCATATGCGCAATGTGACCAAGGAGTTGATCACGGGATGATGTGTTACGGAACGAGTAAAGTGACTTGCCGGTAACGAGATTGAACAAGGTATTGGATACCGACGATCGAATCTCGGGCAAGTAACATACCGATAGACAAAGGGAATTGAATACGGGATTGATTAAGTCCTTGACATCGTGGTTCATCCGATGAGATCATCGTGGAACATGTGGGAGCCAACATGGGTATCCAGATCC